TATATATATATATATAGATATATATATATATATATATATATATATATATATATATATATATATATATATATATATATATATATATATATATATATATATATATATATATATATATATATATATATATATATATATATATATATATATATATATATATATATATATATATATATATATATATATATATATATATATATATATATATATATATATATATATATATATATATATATATATATATATATATATATATATATATATATATATATATATATATATATATATATATATATATATATATATATATATATATATATATATATATATATATATATATATATATATATATATATATATATATATATATATATATATATATATATATATATATATATATATATATATATATATATATATATATATATATATATATATATATATATATATATATATATATATATATATATATATATATATATATATATATATATATATATATATATATATATATATATATATATATATATATATATATATATATATATATATATATATATATATATATATATATATATATATATATATATATATATATATATATATATATATATATATATATATATATAGTGGCAAAACAATATATCGCAATGTCAGATTTTTCCAATATTGTGCAGTCCTAATACAAACAGAGCAAACATCAACACTTGGATCCACACAAATTGTTGTTTGTTTTATATTATGCATTATATTTGATAATGATGTTTGACTTTGCAGGGAGTTTCTTGGTCAAGGCTGGATGAAGATGGACAAAAATGAAAGAACTCCATACATTATGAAGACCAGTCAGCACTTCAATGATGTGAGCACTAATTTAAAAAACTATATATACACCACTACAAAACTTCAACAAAACTTTATATTTATTACAGCGTGTTTCTCTTCATTTTTCCTGTTTATCAAATTTAATTTTATTATTTTATTTAATATTTCTTAGCAACATATAAATTTGGGTGTACTCGTTTTTTTGTTTTGTTTTTTGTTTTTTTACTGTGATCGTGTTATTTTGTGAGATTAGTTCCATTTTTGGCTTTGGTACTCACTAATCTAATATGCACAAATATAATACTATAAAGCATCTTATAGAAAAACTATGAATTTAAAAGAAATATCTATAAGGGGTGTAATCCCAGCAGGCACACAACGTCATAAAACTTTAATATTAGGTAAGATTTAGGGTGTGATGTCAGGTGACCAAAATTCAATGTCCAATCAGCGTCTAAGGAAAACGTTATTTTGACGTTTATTAATGACAAGAAATTATGTTTACAGTTGATTTTAGGTTGTGTTGCAAAGTGACCAAAATCTAACGTTGAATCAACATCTTAAACCAACGTCATATTGGTGTCAAATACTGACATTTATTTATCAAGTATAGCCACCAAAATTCAACGTCTAAAAGACGTTAAAGTGGTTATAACCACACAACGTCAAGCTGTAACATCATTAGATGTTGATATTTGGTTGATTTCAGGTTATGTTGGAAAGTGACCAAAATCCAACGTTGAGCCAACATCTTAAACCAACGTCATATTAACATCAAATACATTTATTTGTCAGGTATGGCAACTACAGTCCAACATCTGATAGACATCATAGTGGTAATGTCCACACAACGCCAAGCTGTGACATCATTAGACGTTGATATTGGGTTATTTTTAGATAGGACGTTAGTCATTGACGTTAACCCGCTTTACATTTCCAAACAGAATGCAACATCCCGACTCCAATCTGACGTCATGTTGACATCCTGTGCCTTCTGGGTTAATTTATGAAGAGCACTGTAATCAGCACACTGATTTAAAAACAAAAAATCTCTTTTCGAGAAGAAAACCATAGTTTTAATATACTAATTTAAGATTGAGAAAGACTATGCATATTAATCACAATGAAAATACCTTATTAATCCCAGTGGGAAATTGCGTTTGTTACAGGTGATACTCAGAAATAGATAAGAAATATAGAATTAAAGATAAAGGTGAAAATAAAAAGAAAATGTATCAAATGAAATCAAGGAAAAGATCCAATATAGACAAGCTTTACAATATACAGTTGAAGTCGGAATTATTACCCCCCCCCCCCCCCCCCATATATATTTTTTCCTCAATTTCCGACTTTCTTTCAGCACATTTCTAATCATAATAGTTTTAATAACTCATTTCTAATAACTGATTCATTCTATCTTTGCCATGATGACAGTTAATAATATTTGATTAGATATTTTTCAAGACACTTCTATACAGCTTAAAGTGACATTTAAAGGCTTAACTAGGTTAAATAGGTTAAAGTTAGGGTAATTAGGCAAGTTATTGTATAACAGTGGTTAGTTCTGTAGACTATGAAAATAAATATTTCTTAAGAGGGCTAATAATATTGAACAAATTAAAAGCTTTTATTCTAGCAGAAATAAAATAATACTCTCTCCAGAAGAAAACAAATATTAGAAATAGATTTGAAAAATTCCTAGCTCTGTTAAACATTTGGGAAATAAACGAAAAAAAATCACAGGAGGGCGAATCATTTTGACGTTAACACTACATGTAATATGCATAATGGCTTCATGTGATTTTCTTGAAGCAGTGTAACTGGGTTGTCTCCACAGATGAGTAATCTGGTAGCTTCTGAGATTATGGCTCATGCAGATGTGAGCTCCAGGGCTGGATCCATTGACAAGTGGCTGGCAGTGGCTGATATCTGCCGCTGTCTCAACAACTACAACGGAGTCTTGGAAATCACATCTGCACTGAACCGCAGCGCCATCTACAGGCTGAAGAAGACATGGGCCAAGGTTTGCAAACAGGTAGGTCTGAAATAAAATAAAAGACTGTGTTTTATTTATTTTTTAAGGGGCTGTTTTGGTCATTTTAATCATCCATGGATTTTTTTTTAATCAGACCAAGGCATTAATGGATAGGCTGCAGAAGATCGTGTCGTCTGAAGGGAGGTTTAAGAACCTGAGGGAAACTCTGAAGAAGTAAGTTCACGTTTGTTACTGCCTTTTTGGTCTTGTTTTACAGTATAATGATCAAACCATTGCTTTATTTATCTGAGAAACAAAAGGTATTAAGAATTACAAAACAAATGTAAAAACGAATCAAAATGCTAAAACGTAGCATGCTAACGTTTCCCTGGCTTTCATTGACTACAGCTGACCTTCCATGACAGCTAATAAACGTAATAACAGGTTTTATTGGGCTTATATATTAATTATATAATATTAAAATAATATTAAACACAATATTTAAATGTTTTTAGCTTGAATTCAATTTTGTAGGACTTTAATAGCCAGTTAGCAACTATGAGAACAGCAATGATAATTTACCTCAGAATAAAAAATAAAAAAACTGAAGTATTTTCTGTTTGAAAGGCTGTGAAGTGCTCTTTCTCCCATGTTTGATAGCTCAAAATAAGTTTTACAAACATTATATTTAGCTTTTCTGTCATCTGTTCTTTTTTAAGTTGTCATTTTGAAGCCAAAGCTATTAAAATGTACATAATCCTGGCATGTTTGTCTTAGTTAACACAGAGTATATACAGGAATCAGAGAGTGAAATTCAATACCTTTTAAGACCTTTTTTAAGACTCTTTCCATACATTTTAAGACCTTATAACTACTTTTTAACCGGAAACATTGGAGATTTTAGCTTACAGTATATTTACTAAATATTAATGGAAGAAGTTCATCCAAACTAAAACATTATTCATATCCTGGCTGAAAAATCCAGCTTAAACCAGCCTAGGCTGGTTGGCTAGTTTTAGCTGGTTGACCAGCCTGGTTTTAGAGGGGTTTTGGCCATTTACAGGCTGGTTTCCAGCTATTTCCAGCCTGGTCTTAGCTGGTCAGGCTGGAAAGTGACCAGCTAAAACCATCTAAAATCAGCTTGTCCATTCTGGTTTAAGCTAGACACAGCTGGTTATGGCTGGGCTTCTGGGAAATGGCTAGAAACCAGCCTGGAAGTGACTAAAACCCCTCTAAAACCAGCCTGGTTGACCAGCTAAAACCAGCCAACCATCCTAGGCTGGTTTAAGCTGGATTTTTCAGCAGGGCTTAAAAATCTATTAAATCTATCTAATTCAGCAGGTTGGCGCCTATAGAACTGCAAAAATAATGGTGTTGCCTTGGTTACTGCAGTAAACAAAGCAGCATTATGTCAAATCTAGTAGGATATCATTGATTTCATAAACACAGCATCCTGATATTCGCAGATTTAATTCAGGCAAACTTTAGCATACAACCATGCATTGCATAATCAAAAATGATATAACATTTAATATCTTGCAAAATAGCATTTAAGACTTTTTAATACTTTTTAAGGGCCTTATATTTTTCTACATTGATTTATCAACTTTTAATTTTTTTTTAAGACCCCTGTAACAGGTACATTCTGGTGACAGCATTTGATTTTAGTCACTGACAGTTGATGAACACGAATAGAATAAAACAAAGCTGAAATTTGTTTTAAAAACAACACGACATCTCGGGCTTGACTATATATATTCATAAGTAGAAACTTGAATTTAAATTGACAAACAAAAATCCCTGATACTCCTTTAGATGGACAAATATATAAAAATTTCATGATATCCCACAAATTCCTTGAGGTGTGGCAAACCTCACATGAAGTGTGATAATAAAATAAGCAGAAATCAAGATTATTTTCTTGCTTTGATAAAAGATTTAGGCTTAACTATAAATTTGTATATACTTTTCTTAATATTTCATGATCAATTTAAGAATATTTAGATAATTGTACTATTTTTATTTACAGAATAATATACACACTATGTGATTTTACACTTGCTACTGTATTTAATCCACAGCTGTAACCCACCGTGTGTGCCCTATCTGGGCATGTACCTGACAGATTTGGCATTTATCGAGGAAGGAACACCCAATTTCACGGAGGAGGGTCTCGTCAACTTCTCTAAAATGAGGATGGTAAGTGCTGGCCTGCTCAAAGTTACTGTAGGACTTCACATGTCAGAATTGTTGAAAGACATCAATAAAGATCGGTCTTTAATTATCCTATTCTATGTTTTTCGCAGATTTCACACATAATACGAGAGATTCGACAGTTTCAGCAGGCGCCCTATAGGATTGAACTGCAACCTAAGGTACAGTGTTAATGTATAGTGTCCTCATGTACACTTTTAACCCTGAAAAACCTGACCTGTATGATAGTAGAAAAGAATATTTTGAAAATTTGGAACATTTAATCAACCATTTGGCAAAAAAAAAAAAGTTTGCATACAGTTGAGTTCAGAATTATTAGCTCCCGTTTATTTTTCCCTGATTTCTGTTTAACGGAGAGCAGATTTTTTCAACACATTTCTAATCAGAATAGTTTAAATATCTCATTTCTAATTGATTTATTTTACCTTTGCCATGATGACAGTAAATAACATTTGACTATACATTTTTCAAGACACTTCTACAGGGTCTCTGCAGATATCATAATGTCAAATTTAAGACCTTTTTAAGACCATTAAGTATTAAATTTAAGACCTATATCGCAATATCAAAAACACGCGAGAGAAAATGTAAAAGCACAAAATTAGGGGTAAAATAAAGTTATTTAAATTTCGCTCTTTCGCATTACAACGCTCCCGACTTATAAAACTGCGCTTGCGACATGTGTCAGTGAAATAACAGCATACTCTGCCAGCCGAAATCATGTCGCGCGCACTTAAAGCGAACTTCCGCAAACACATCGATGACGTCACATTCGCCGCGCGCACTGAGTTTAATATCAGAAAGCTGATTGGCTATTGCAAGTTGACTTTTTTGTAGTTGTAATTCCGCAAATTACAATTGGACTTGTGAAATATAGAACTACAACACCCCAAAAATCTAGCAACAACAACAAAAAGAATTTAAATAAGCATTAGATGTAGCGTTACATGGACATCGCAAAAATAAGACCTGTGCAAAAATATTTAAGACCTAGAACAGCAAATTTAAGACTTTTTAAAGCCATAAATTTCGATTTTTTAATTTAAGACTTTTTAATACTTTTTAAGACCCCGCGGGGACCCTGTTCTATACAGCTTAAAGTTACATTTAAAGGCTTAACTAGGTTAGTTGGGTTAACTAAGCAGGTTAGGGTAATTAGGCAAGTTATTGTATGACAGTGGTTTGTTCTGTAGACAACAAAAAAAAAACATAGCTTGCAGGGGCTAATAATATTGGCGTTAAAATGGTGTTTAAAAAATGTAATCTTCTTTTGTTCTAGCTGAAATAAAACAAATAAGACTTTCTCCAGAAGAAAAAATATTATTTCTACACGCACCGCGTGTATTATGGGGCCTGAGGTGTGTTTACTTACTGATTCACAGTTGATCCGAATGTGGAATCCGATTATGAAAGACTGTTTTTCTCTCAGGTGACACAGTTCCTCCTGGATAAGACCCTTGTAATGGACGAGGACACGCTTTATGAACTATCTCTGAAGATCGAGCCAAGACTTCCACCTGCCAACTAAACACAATGATCATGTTTACACCAGACTCCGATATCCAGAGAGTCAGTTTGTGAGAATCCAAATCTCAAAGTCTGAACCACTTATCCATATATATTCACCTCATTCCAGATGATTGCTGTAAACTCAGGTATTAATGTGCCTTGTTGTAAATGTTATGAAATTTCTTGGTACATATTTATAGGATGGTGCAATTTAATATCAGTTTGATAATCTCTTGATAATGTTTTTTACCTGAAGGCGAAAATATCAGCTCGGTTTTTAAGTCTAATCATGTCTTTAGTATATTAGTGTTCATGTTTGTATGCATACAAATGGGTTTAGATGAAACAATGTCTCACAAATTACTTGTATAAATAGTTTATGAGGATTCTTCATAGACATAATGTATTTTATACTGTAAAAAACGCTATTTACCTCACCCCGACCCCTATATATATATATATATATATATATATATATATATATATATATAATTTTAAGTATTTTGAATTACAAGGACACATGGCATGTCCTCATAAACCACTTTACTAGAGTACAACCCATGTCATCATACAATTTACTTGTACACCAGATAAACAAGCGCATAAACGTCCACACAAACACACATATACTTGTATTCATGGTTAACAGGGGCACTCCATATTTTATACAGTAAAAACTGCCTATAATATTGCACTACCCCACCCCTAACCCACCTGTGGCAAAATTTGAAAATCAAAAAGCTTTGTTAAATATGATTTTTAAGCGTTTTCCATTCGAGGGACCCTCTAAACCACCTTAACAGAGAACAACAAAGTCATACCCATGTCATAATACAACTTCATGTCCCTTTACCTAATATACCTGTACACACACTAGGGTTTACATGAAGCAAGGTCACACACACACGTACTTGTATACATGGTTTACAAGGACACTCCATAATTTATATAGTAAAAACCACTTATAATATTGCACTACACCACCCCTAACCCTAAACCCAACCCACCTGTGGCAAAATTTGAAAACCAAAAATGATTTTTAATAGTGTTGAATTAGAGGGACATTAGGTGTGACCCTCTAAACCACCTTAATAGATAACAACTAAATCATACCCATGTCGTTATACAACTTCATGTCCCTTTAAACCGAATACACCTGTACACACACTAGGGTTAAGATGAAGCAATGTCTCACACACACATTTACTTGTATACATGGTTTACAGGGACACTCCTTATTTTATGTAGTAATAACCACTTATAATATTGCACTACCCCACCCCTAACCCTAAACCCAACCCTCCAGTGGCAATATTTGAAAATCAAAAGACTTTGTTAAATATGATTTTTAATAGTGTTGAATTAGAGGGAAACGAGGTGTAAACCTCCTTAATAGAGAACAACTAAGCCATACCCAAGTCAATATACAACTCTGTGTCCCTGTAAACCTAATATACCTGTACACACACTAGGGTTGTCACGATACTGGAATTCGGTACAAATCGAAACTGAAATAATAATAATAATTTAAAAAAAGTCCATTTCCCGCTAACATTTGAGCGCTGTTGTGCCATTTCTGTTCACACGACCAACAGAAATGACTAGGATTGGCCGTGAAGGTCATCAGTTAACTGAACTCACCGATGTTTACTGAGTGCAACCACAGATACAGGGACGCTGGAGCATTTTAAAGCCCCGATTCATGAGCGGATCACTCATGTCAGCTTATAGACAAACCGGCTGATGGAAGTGACTTTAAAACTCTGTGACCATGTGGGTCAGTCAATCAGTCAGTCAGTCGACAGCGGCCTCTGGTGGATTTACCTGAGAACAGCAGGCGCTCATGGCATTGAGAGAAATTGTAATTATAATTATATAGTCAGATCACACTGCATGTTTTGTTTGTAGGCGTATTTTGATATTTTCAGCATGTGTTTGCATGAATCGCTAGATCATTTTGGATTAACGAGAGCAGTTTCTATTGTTCAAATCATCTGTTTTTCGATACTGCGAGCTCAAACCTTACCGGATTACGTGATGGTAAGGCCAAAGTACTGTAGTACTGACTTATTACCGGATCTGTGTGCCATTATACTGAAACAGCACACTCCATACTACAGTAAAAAATCCAGAATATCTGAAGGTTAATGCAGAGGACACATTTATTGTTCGTTTTTAACATGAGAACGAGTCATTCTCCATTTTACAGTTTATGGTTGTTTCCATAAAATTCACTCTTTTAACATTTTACACCTTCTTAAATGTTCATTTTGAGTCTGTTTTTGTATAAAGATAAATAGATTGTTGTTTTTTTATTTATTCAAGCATATGTCTGTACAGTGCCCTGTTTATTTCATTATTTATACGAGTGTTTATTGAAACTTTGACCTGGAAAACCTAGAGAACTTTATGCCGAGTTCAGACTGCATGGTTTTAGCCCCGATTTTGACTCGCCGACAGGTTTTGAGAAATCAAAGATAGATGCCCGAAATCACAGGTAAATCGGTGCTGGTGCACGCGAGAGACAATCACACAGTATAAACTTTCAAAGAAGCGATCTGAGAGAATCACCGATGAGTCGCCGATGCCTGTGAGATATTTGCCGTGCTGAATATCTGGAGCTCTCGGCGATTCAAATCCTGCCGTGTGGAATGTGTTCTGACTGAAAATAACATCAGCGATCGCCTACAGCCAATGAGAGAGCAGCAAAGATATACTATGTGTTTTTGGCTGTGAGACGTAGTTTGGACGAAGTTGTCAGCGATTCTTCCTACTGTAAAGTCATGCAATGTGAAAGCCCCTGTCGCCGATCCATCTTGCAGTGTAAACAAAGCAGCCCAGATAGTCATGCAGTGTGAAAACACCTGTGACATGACTACTTTGAAAATCCTGCAGTCTGAACTCAGCATTAGGCAGCCCTGCATTGTTGTTCTGCATTTAAATACTCCTCAAGGAGTGACTTTGTCTTTTCATAAACAAATTATTGTCTTTTTTTTTAAACAATAGACAACTTTCTCTGTTCTGTACATCTTTCCATGAAGCTAATAAAACTTTTTGCCTTATCTTCAGTATGCTTGTTTTTAATTATACATTCAAAAGATGAATTATAGCACAAAAAAATCTTACATAAAAGCTTACATAATTATGATCTGCATATGAGTTGTTGACTTGACGTTGCATTTTTACTAAAAGGAAAATTGTCAAATTATTCATAAATACCTTAGGCTTAATTTCACAAGTGGCTATTTTAGTGAATGTAAGTGCTGTGATGATGCGTATGGCTGCATTTCGTCTTTAAAACTAATGCTACAGGGCGGTATGTCGCAGACAACAGCTTCTACTACAGGCTGACTGCTTACCTCCGTATGCTTCCCCAAACCCAAGCAACGATTTACAAAAGCCATCCAGAAAAAGAAAAGCCCTCGTCTGATTTTTACCACGTCTTCAGATTTCACCACATTCTCACCCTGTTATGAACTTGTACACTTTATCGTTTGGATTCTGTTTTTGTCTTACCTGATTTCTGGAACCGCTCTTACCCGGTCGTCGCGGTCAGCTCCTCTCCGCATCTCAACTCCGCGACATAAATGACGAGCTAACTGGGCAAGCTTGTTGCGGCGGGAAAGCCATCCACACGGAGGTAAGCGGTCAGCAGGCGAGCGTGAAAAGAAACGCCGTCACACCGTCCCGTAGTGTTCACTTAAAAAATTAAATGGCATACGTACACTCTGGCTACATAAATCGAGGGTCTCCAGAAACACCTGCGGGACTATGTTTTCAGAATGAGACTGGGTTGGGTTTATTTGCATACAGCGATCTGATTGGTTGATGCTTCCGCCGGCGCTTGAAAAGTTGAGCTAGTTCCAACTTCTGCAGCAAGCAAGGCAGTTCAGCAACGCTTGACATCACCAATTCAAAGTGATTGGGAAGCGTTGACGCTGATGCCCCGTGTGAATTGGGCGTAACAAAGCAGGGTCAAGTGACTATACACGGTAGGGAAAATAATTGAAAAAATTGACCTGAGAAAAGTAGATCGATTATAGGTTCCGAATGTCGATTTCAATAATTTTTTTATTTAATTGCCCAGCCCTGATGTACTGTCTGTCGCCATGCCAAAGACTAAATAAATTACTCTGTAAAAAAATACTGGTTGCCTTAATTTTTTAAGCTGAATTAAATTAACCTTATGAGTCCTTTGAATTTATATTACGTTAAACTGACTTTAAAAAGCTTTCGTAAGAAAATTTACAACGTGATTAACTTAGTTTAATAAGTTATAATGAACTAAAAACATATGTTGGCATGACAAATGTATCATATAAATTTTTACAATGTAGTTATTAGAAATCAACTATTGTCGGTGCCAATGGTGTAGAGGAAACTGTACTGACACATGCGTTCTAGTGTTCACGGCGACCCGAGTTTGATTCCCGCTTCAAGGTCCTATCCCAATCCTTCCCCTCTCTCTGCTCCCCACACTTTCCTGTCAATTCTCTCTTCTGTCCTGTCAAATAAATGTTAAGGTAATAAAAGAAATCAGTTATTAAAACTATTATATTTAAAAATCTGTTGAAAATCTCTGATAAGCAACATTTGGAAAATACATTTTAAAGACTTCAAATATTAAATCATTTTGACTTCAGCTGCACATCTTAAAAGTGATTTGCTATTGGGATGAATTAGTAATGGTGGCTGTGAATAAGAGGCTATGTAGAGGTTATAAAGTAGAGTGCAAAGCGCTGGACTATGGCGGCAGGTCTCAAGGACAAGCTGGACGACAGACACGGGTTATGACCTGGCACTCACATGGAAGAGGATTGGCCATCAGGTCGGCTTCTAATCCCATATCCTGGGAGGAGCGCCAGATTCCCGCACAGACTGTGTGCTTCCTGACACTGAGGAGACTCTACAGGTAAAACTCTCCTCTTTTACATTACTTTACTTAGTATAACCAAATGTCAATTTTGATCCTGGAGAGTAGGGATCCTAGAGTTTATTAGTCATAGTTTTACTACACTATAAATAATTTCTTGCTGCCCTAAATTTGTTTTTGTTTTCTAGTCGTCATCTCTACTTACATCAAGCAAACTTACTAAAAAGATGAAGTTTAACTTTTTATAACTTAGAAAATTGAGTGGAAACCTGATTAACTTATTAAAATGACTTAAGCAATATAAAATTATGTTGTCTTGATTATGTCTGGTCATTATATTTTTTACAGTGTATTAAAATCCAAATTCCTGCTTTTTAAGATTAGTTATTTATCATGAACTTACAATGTACAACTTTATTTTCATTAATTAACTTTATCAAAGTAATTAATATTGTAATTAACGTACGTTTTGTCCCAAATAACTGTAAAAATAGTGTATTTTCACTGACAATTGTGGCAAAAATGTTGGGTTCCTCACAATTCCTTCATGCTGTTCTAACACAAATCAATTAAACTTACTTAATTGTTTTTACCAATTTTAGTTGATTCAACATAAAACAATTAATTTGTCTAAAAAATTTAAGAATTGTGTTGTTTCAACTTATTTTTAAATACACAGTTTAAACAAGCAACTAATGGCATTTTTTTAAATGTGTGAATGCAATACGAGTAAGCCAATAATTCACGTTTTTGTGTGTGTATTTGGATTATTTTCTCATTAAATATTCTTAACCATTGTATTGAACCCCATTTATCAGTTTACTATTTCAACAAACTTATTGAAATCCCTGTGCCATATTTAATGACATTATAAAGACGTTAATGCATCTTATTATGCATTCAGCAGATTCTTTAAAATTGGTAATGTTGCCAGATTTATTACTTTAGAATAAACTATAACATTACTCTGCAAAAAACAAGTCTTGGTTCTAGTCCAAATATCCAATTAAGTCTTATATCAAGAAGGATTTTCTAGACAACCAAAAAACATTGTCTTATTTTAAGAAATAATGTGCAAAATTAAGTGTTTTTTTTTTTCATGAAAACAAGCAAAATAATACCAATGAGGTACATAAAATATTCTTATTTTAAAGCGAAAGCAAGATTACCTTGCTTACCCCATTGGCAGATTATTTTGCTTCTTTCAAGAGAATACTCACTTAATATCAGCACATTATTTCTGAAAACAACAAAACAATTTCTGCTTGTCCAGAAGCTTGATTTATTAATTTGTAAATTTTGTGACTAGAAACCAGATAAAAAGCTCCATTTTAACAATCTAGGTGCAAAGTCTAAAGCGGATGGCATTAAGCATTAAGGATGTGTCCGAATCCACTTTTGCTATTTTAAGGATGGAAAAATACGCTCTGAGCCCTGGCGCATGGTCTAACAGGGTTTTGCTTATTATCTTAATGATTTATGGATGTGTTTAGAGCTTAATTTGTATTTAAACAATCAGAGTCTCATCTCCTATTCCCTTTAAGAGTCAGTTGTGTTGCGCCATGGCGCATTTGCTATTTACATGGCAGAAAAACTGAACGCTTCACTAGCGAGAAAACAGTTAAACAGGGCATCTGCTGCACAAGGATAAAGAATGAGCCTCCACCATTCAGCCTCTTTACTTTCTTTTTACTTTACTTTTACTCTTTACTACTTTACTTTCATGGATGAGGAAACGGTGTTGTACGCACTTCGTTAGCCTACATATTTAATAGTTAGTTACGCTCAAAGTTTTTTTTCTAATTACCAGCAAATTAATAAATAAACAATAATAATGAAGTGTGGTAAAAAAAAAAAAATAATAAAATAAAAAACATTTTATATTTAAACGTATGTATGGTTTGGATAAGGTGATGTGACGTCTCCAAAACCCCACAGGTGGACAAATCTAAACTTGTTTTTTTTTTAAACAAATATAAATACGCATCAGGGCTCGTACAATCTGGTAGCCCGACGTGCATATAAAATTATTACTGCTAAAAATAAATAATGAATAAACTGAGAAGCACTATATATCTATATACAAGATATGTGTGTGTTGCTGTAAACCTGAAAAATTAAGTGTTTTTTTTTCTTGAAACTAACAAAACTATCTGAATAATCCAATAGTATCTGGATGCAGCCTTTATGATGCAAGCTGAGATCACTCAATGATGCAATGTTAGACTCAATGCACTCAATGGAGTGAGTGACGTCACTGTGATGGGTAGGGTTAGGGGTAGGGTTAGGTGAGCCCTTTAAAAAATAATTTAATGCAGCTCAGATTGCACTGCACCAGGTCTGCATCCAGATCCCTCTCCAATAATCTGCCAAAATGTAAATTAATCCTATTTTAAAGCGAACACAAGTTTGCTCGTTTTAAGGAAAAACTCACTACATTTCCCTCATTATTACTGAAAACAAGACAAAATTGTCTGCTTGTCGAGAAAATGCTACTTGATTTAAGACTTTTTAGATATTTGGATTAGAAACAAGACTAACCATCTTTTGCAGTGACTGTACATTATGATTTGATGGTATTCTACAAACATCCTAGACTAATCCTACAGTTAAAAGCCTAATAATCCTCCAGTACTCGGCTACAGTGCTGAAGAGCCACCTGCTACTGAAGTATTACAGCTTGTTCCTGGTTTTGCGGTTTTATGTAGATCTGAGTTCAGATTCTGGTCAGGTCTTGTGTCCACTGGCGTGACCTGTTCAGAATGTTACGCCTAAGCACGAGGCATCTAGTCTGCGAGTCTATTAATAACACTTTCACTTTTAGAGAGTCACATTTGCAGTATCGAAAGGGCAGCGGACTGCAGAGTTAAGCATGTCACTACACTCGAAAAATGATTTTTAAAAAATTAAAATGAGCTAAAACCACAAAATTCTTGAGTTTTATTTAACTGTTTTGCGTTCAATCCACTTAAATTGGTCTAAACAATTGTTAGCTTAATCAATTTGTGTTGGGGTGACATAAAAAGCATTACGTTAACTAATTCGTTTTTGCAAATTTAGGTAGATCAACATAAAACAATCACGTTGTCCCTCCCAAAAACTCAAGAATCGTGCTGTTTCAGCTCTGCTTTAAACAAGTAGTTTGAACAAACAATAAGCGTAATTGTTTTGAAGTGTTGATCTTGTTTTT